TAGTCAACGTAAAGAGCCGGGATGGACATAGTCAACGAAGAGAACCAAACAACATAAACATATACTGAACAGATATGTTTATCAAAGTCATAGCTGGTTAGCAAGCAGTGGAAGCTATCAAAGCAAGGGCAAAAGGATGCGAAAACTTCAGATATATTGTTTACAATATGGTGTCTTTTAGCATATATCGTCTGCCAAACGAAGATAAATTGGAGTCACTACTAAAAGAAAAAACATAAAACAATCGTCATTAAACGCAATGAAATATGGCTTGAAAAGCATATTTAGGAGACTTAAAACGGGATAGATGCGGATTTTATATCGCGTAGTTGTTATGAATCCTAGTGATATTAATACCAGACCTATAATGACATATTCTGGTGATGCAAGCAAATTGTCGTTGAAGTTATTAATCGCACAACATGAATTAAAAAGAAAGAAATTACGTACACACTCTCTCAAATTTCCCCGTACAGGATGATATGAGCATATTGCACCACCACAAACAGCGACATAAGCCTTTGTCCCTTAACTTTCATCTGATACTGAAGGGAAAGACATGGACCTCTTCTTTGTTTTAAGTGAACCTTTTAAACTTCAAAATGTATTACCATGACAGATTGGGGTACTTACAGAAAATAATTTTACCGTCAATTTGCAACCAATGAGGGATCCTGGCAAAGGCTTTTTTCGCACTCACCTTTACTAGTGAGAGTAACGTAATTTTCAATTCCAATAACTGAAAAAAAAAATGTAAAATTTGCTAAAATGACATTGTCACTTACATTGACTTGTTGAGTGTATTGTTTGAAAAAAAATGTTTTTAATTTCAAATTCTACTCTAGTTCGACTCAATTCAACTACAGTGTACCCAATCTTACCTGTTTCATTTGCCGATGAAATTGACCAGATTAACATTGCCTGTGCGTATGAATACATATTTTCAGATTTTGAGAAGGAAGATAAGAACTGTTACATATTTGTTAGGCAACAAAAGAAAGTGTTCGAGCAACCAAAAACCATCAATCATCAATCATCAAAACATTATCAGCTGTTGCTAGCGGTAGTGACAATTCATGAACTGCCATAGAAATTCTCCCTCCAGCTAACCATTCTGCCTATTGTGTCAGAGTCACTCCCTGGTATAAATTCGGTGGTTTCCTGTCTAACTTGACATTCAATTACTGCAGCTTCACATTCCAGAAGATGTAGAAGCTCGAAATTAAGCGGCTCTCCACTTCGAGTTAGTAAAAAGATGGCTGTCATAGACTCAAAGCTGAGCCTGCGCACTGCGTCTAGACATTACTCTTCCTCGATGACGCGTCAGAAAATAAGATATCTAAACAAATGCATATGTCAACAAGAAATATGTCTTTGTGGATTTTTTTCATAATTGGCTGTATTGAACTATCAGCGTACAACACAAATTTGGTAGCGGTCCTTCAATGACGGACTATATTTTTACATTATGTCATTACGTAGACTTGCACAATCTCCAAAATATGGGACAAACTATCAGAATGGACTTTCACAAGTTCCAATTGTTGAAAACAAATAATGTTGATTGAAATATAAGTATTGATTCTTACTTTTGTCGATTTTATGGGGTAATAAATTCTGTTGGTCTTGAAACAAATTAAATCACCCAATGTAGATCGACCAAAGCAACATTCAATCCTTAAATGAACATTCACTTTTTTCGTTTTTGTTATATCTATTCGGTATGATAAACCAGTTCATGATCCAACATCGGTGCCTTCGGATGATATTGCCAGTATCGGGGAGAAAAATCTTAATGTCACATCGACATAGGGTCATTAATTGTCTATACAGTGACGCGAGATGAAAGAATACAATTCAATACAAGTAACAGAAATTTAACATCTTAATTATCCCAATCTTTCAATTTGGAACAGTGAATCCCTTGGCTTAGGGATGTTCCAGGACAAACTAATTGCATAATTAAATGAATAGAGTATACATTCACTCAATTAACCATAACCAAATCAGTATTGTTTTACTCACTCCTCCTTTGTAATTTGCCTGAAACGACCACAGTGTAAGGGCAATAACTCGTGTACAATAACATGCGGTATTTGTTGGGTTCTACAACAATATGTATGCGTTGTTTGTTTTTCATTGTTATACGTTTCCATGGTTCAATACAACACAGTTCCGTTTAAATATATTTTCATCATGCATTCCAAACCTTATATATACGTTCAATGCCCAGTAGGCTCTTCATTCTATTCACGCAAACTTGTCTACCAAATAGTGGAATAGAGTTTTTTGCCGGAATAGGGTAATGCTTTTTTCTAAGATGCATTGATTTACTCCAGTATGGATCATTTTAGTGTGCAGAAAAAATATATCATTAGGACTAAGGGGGATGTGGCCTAAAGATAAATTTCGAAACGGATGGAGAAAGTGGGAAAGGTTGCTACAGATAATGGGATGAAATGATAAGATGTTGTTCGCGCATTCACATTCCCAGAACAGGTGGACAAAGAACTATACAGCATATATCTGAATATTCATTCCTATTTTTGGTTTTCGTTTAAATTTGTTTCAAACTCTATTTAACTCTATTGACCTTATTTATATACATTTATATAAATCACCAGTCCCTGACAAAATCAGCTCACTTGTTACATCATATTTACTAGTATTCCTTATTTGCAATCATACCGTCCATTCTCTTTCTCTTTTCCCCCCCCCCCCCCTCTCTCTCTCTCTCTCTCTCTCTGGAGTTTGAAGACCTACACCTCCCTTTATTTTTTCTGTCTGATTCTCTCAAGCTCTGATATGCCTCTTCTTTAACTGCATTTTTGTTTTCTTTTCTTTTCATATTTCTTCATCCAAATGACTGTCATTTGTGTATTGTGTGTGTGTGTATGGGTGAGTGTAAGTTGCAGCGAATGCCTGAGTATATTTTGTATTGGAAATTTGATTCAGGGCATGAAATAAATCACTTTGAAGCCGTGTATGTACATGTGAATTTATGTATACAACAACTAAGTGGGTGGTATTTAATGTGAGTATAATGTTTGTAAATCTGGAATGATGATGATATCATTATGAATTAATGATGAAGATGATGATGCTACTAATATATTGATGAAGATACATATGGAATGATGATTGAAGATTATGGATGATGAAGATGATTGTATAATGATGATGAGCATGTTGTTGATGATGATGACGATGATAATGATGATGACAATGATGATTTATGAGGATGAGGATGATGATGATGATGATGATGAGGATGATGATGAGGATAATATGTTGATGAATATACATATGGAATGATGATTGTATGATGATGATGATGATGATGATGATGATGATGATGATTGTATGACAATGATGAAAATGAAAATGATGATGATGGATGATGGTAATGATGATGATTGAATAATTATATATGAAAGATGATGATGACGATGGTAATGATGACGATGGTAATGATGATGATGATGATGATGATGATGATGATGATGATGATGATGATGATGATGATGATGATGATGATAATGATGATGATGATGATGATGATGATGATGATGATGATGGTGATGATAGTTGTGATGTTGTTGATGATGATGACAGTATGATGACAATGATAATGATTGTGATGATGCTAGATCCATGTCCGTGTGTACATGTGTGAGAGTGCGTGAATGTCCTGTTCATGTATATGTATATGTAATGGAAACCTTTAATACGATGCCCAATGGTAAGCACTAAGGAATACCATGGCATTTATCCCAGTTCCCATCGTTATATACATTTTTCGAACCAACTTCATGAAAATATTTTGCTTTCGACGTTTGGCTCGGGGAAAGAAACATGAAAGCCACATATTTAGAACTTGATATTTACATCGTAAATAAACATGTTTTTGTCTTATTTTTGTTTTGTTATTTGTTTTGCTAGGAGCGTAGCTATTTTAGATAATGAATTTAATTAAATGTAATTTGTAAGCTATACAAGAGCCAATTACTTCGATCAAAACTTAAATCATGTGTGACGTTATGTTATTGTTAATCATGGCTTAAACGTGACTGTAAATGAGCAAAAATACACTTTGTCTTAATGAAACTTTTCTGAATATTTACTGTCATACAAATTAAAAAAAACAGCGATGTGTGTTCTTCAATCTTTCAAATAAGTTTCAGAATTATGTCGCCTGTTGGTCTATTAAACTTACAATAGTAATGAAGCTTCGAATTCATATCGATATTGATATACAATGATCGGTCATCATGCATGGCCTCTGTGACCTCTGATTGATTGACACATTTGATAATGATAATTGTTTTACTTGTTCTCGGATTAGTGCTAGATTCACCTGCATAGTAACAGTAACTGCGTGACAGATCTTCTGTCAGGCCAGGGGATATAACTCGTGTTGCGAAAGCTACAATTGTGGATAACGACATATACATTACTTACATTGTAAGGTAATATAACAGTATCATACTAACTGTTATTTTTACTATTTATTGCTCACTAATCTCATTACAGAGGACATCAAAATATTCATCTTTCATTGCATTTTCCGATCGGTTCTCTTACAAAGTTTACTTAAGTGGTTTAGCATATTTCGTACTCTCCTTCCTTGCACCAATATATGACCATGTTTCCCCGATTGATTAAGTGCTATAGACAAGATTACAGCAAACACTTATTTGTATTACCCAATAGTCTATACAAATTATAATTAGATAAATCAATGGCGAGTAGGTTTAATACTGATATGTATTTGGTAATAAAACAATTGTTTCGATGCTATTTGGGGAACAATCAAAACTACCGTCCTCGGTCAAACAGTTCCCCAGGGCTTCCCCTACCTCGGGATGTTAGTTTTGACTGTTCCCCAAATAGCCATGAAACAATTGTATACGTTTGTAACAATCCAGTATGATACTTCCCCGTTGTCCACTACATCTTTGCGAGAGAGAAAAAACCGCTTAATCGATTAAAATGTTTTGAGTAATTTATTAAGCATCGTGTACATTTCTTAAATGAATCCCTGTTATAATATTTCATTTCGTCATTGCCGTCGACGTGATTAAACAGATTAAGAAACTTTGAAAAAGTACGCAGAGCATGAAACAACACTGGTAGTTATAATTGTGTAGTTCTTTGTCCAGAATAACTGTATTCATTATAGACTGATTTTCGATGCCCATTCCAGTTCCCAGTTCCGCATTTGCGCCTTCCTCCTGTTCCGATGCTTACTGAGCTCTATACTGCGACGTGTTCGAACTTCCGGTATTCGTGATATAATGTAAGGGGCGATAACTTGTCGACTGAGAGAGGGACACACAGAACTACTCCATTTGTCAATTTTCTTTTGGATTCTACTGCTGGTGAATTCTCGCAAATCCTCGTCTGTAATCTCAACAGTGAGATCTGTAACATTCTGGTTGTACACCATCAAAATCTGAAAAAAATAAACGAAATCATATATTTATAATATTACTTTTCGGAGAACTGATGTTATATTTGCATATAGAGTTTGGACATGTTTTCTTTTAATTAATAATCGAAATAAGATTAAAAGATATGCAAAATATATGTATAAAAATTGAGCGAAAATGTAAGGCTGTATTTACTTTTATTCATTTTTAAGTTAATATTGCGGATTGTTTGAAAGTAAAACGATAGGTTATATTTTCCCCCGGTTTTGATAAAAGAATAAAATTGGAGCAGTTATCTTCTGAAATCCCAAGCCATGCACTTGTATTGTGTTGTGATCGATGCTCTTAAACATTTCCGCAAAAACCGGAACAAATTATTTCGAAATCAGGTGAAATCATATATAATACCACCAATCAATCAAATTTATCGAGAAAGCTGTGATGTTAAGGATGATTCCGAGTAAAAGAACCAAGTTAATGGGTCGTATGCAAAGTTAAGATTGAAACCAATTACCTTTAAAATTTGATCCAGAGCGGACAGGTCGTCATTAGTTTCTATATAAACCCGGACATGACCTCTGACCCGGTACGCCATTTCCTGTTCCAGCAGATCGAGTACGGGTGACGGGTTATCGCATGGACCAAACAACATCTCTTCGATGTTTTTATCGTCAAACGGCCGGTATTTCTCTTCCAACTTTGTTTCTGAAGGAATACATTTTAAAATAATAAAAAAAATAACGTTCCAGTGTTATTACGATTACATGATATTTGTATGCTCCTAGTGAATGCATTCCTATAAACAATGATGTAAATATTGCTTTTGGAGTCAGTTAAAAAGTAGTATTATAAAATTAGCGACTAGAACACGAAAAGCGAAAACAATGCATATTAACACACAATTGTATGTAACAAAATCAATAATTTAGTTTTATAGTTGTTTGTGACAAACGAGTTATATGGATTTCAAAATCCACACAGCTGATAAAAAGGGGCCTCGATTATATACAAAATTGCAAATGTTGCAAATATTTCACCAAAAGGTCTAAGGTGACAAATGCGAAAATATATGAGAGGACCAAAGAAAAATCCGTTTGGTATACATATGATCACATATGAGGTGGGAAAATGAGGAAATGGTATTGCAAAACTTGTACAGCGTGACGTTCAAAAGTACCACGCAGAAATTACAAAATGACGTTTGAAAGAGCGAGAGCCTAATACATGTACATGTACTTACGTAAGTTTGAGATAAGCGAAATTTTTATCATATAGACTAATATATTGTATATGACGACGTTTTAGATAAGTGAGATGTTAACATTACAGAAAACTATAAACAAGTTCGTAATTGTTTAGAAGGCCGATATGTATACCGAGGAGGCTAATACAGTGGGAAAATTGTGTCAAAAACATCTACATACTGAAGTTTGAGAAGAGCGGGAGATTTTCAACACAAACGCTATCGTCATTGCATGCAAGGGAGTAAATCTTCGAGTCGTGGTTCTCTGTATTGAAGAATGCCGATGTATCTGTCATGTTTGGGAACGGAGTGGCCGTAGCATCAACAATCATCTTCAGCAAACCATAGCAGGCGTGCAGCTTCCTGTTCCATATATCCCCTATCATCAACGACAGATACAACAAGTGCAATGCGGTCACCAGGGCATTAATTGTTTATCACATTTTATAGATAATGTTCAAATCAGATAAAACAATGTTTGCTGACCATTTATAATGTAAATGCTTAATGAATGATGCATTTAGCCAGTTTTGTTATGTTTTTGATAACAGTAGAATACATTTTGCGCTCTAAAAAGTTGCCTTAATAAAACTTAGTTGTTCTGCTTATTATTTTGTGTTTTATTGTATTTCTTTATCTGGGCCAAAAACCTGACATAACACAATTCGTTCACCACATACAAAAGAACAAAGTAACGTGAAGTAAAAGATGAAAAAGCGAAAGTGCAAAATGTAATAAATTAACAAATTTATAATGATGTGAGAATTTAATAAAAACAAACTCCCATTTCGAATCAATAAGGAAATGAAAAAAATAATTAAGTGACGTGCTACAGTGTATGCGTGTAGTAACCTTTCCCGATGCATCCTCCACAGTTGTTGACCAAGCAGTCATTAGTTTTTCTGACTAGTTCCGGTTTAGAGAGTCCATTTGCACCCGACGAGAGGTGTGATGCGAGGCTCGCGGCCAAGTTCATCCTGTGTGATTTTGTGACATCACAAAAGTTGGCATAATAACCACCCGAATCACAGTCATTAGCACTAGAAACACAAAACAGAATTATTGTACATATCATAATATCGGTAAGTTACGGACACACTCATTTTTACATTTTAAGTGTATAATATAACTCTTGAATCACGAGTGGTATCTCTCTCTGCAGTACATTTGAATTCTCAAGCGGGTTTTCAGTTACATACATTGTCTCAATGGTAAAAAGACACTAACCTTGTAGCTTTCTGAAAAGGTGAAAATATTTTCACTTCGTGGCGGGGATTTAATATTCTAGGAGACGGATTTAATATGAAATTTGTATTTTATCAACTTCATCCTTTAATGCAAACATTTCCGTACGCCTTCTCTAAAAGTCCTTAAAACATGGACATATACTGTTGCTCTGCACAACACCTCCTGATCCACTCCTCACAAACTCTCAGTTTTTTTTATCTCTTTACACAGATCTACCTTCTATGTCTCACAGGTTATTTCATTAAAGCACTAGCTGCAAGAATATCTTAAGAAATGGTCCTGTATTGTATTATATTGATGGACAATTAAGTTATATGGCTTCATACCTATCCCCATATTTGATGTAGAATGCTCCAGTTCCCAATGGATGGTCAGTACATTGGGTGCTAGTACTTTTACTTTGGACTAGAACTCCTCCTGTAATCAAATAAATGTAGGATTTTAGAAAAAATATTTTTTTTATAAAATTTAATATTGTACAGGTTCAACTGAAGGAACGCATGTTGCTGTACGCAATGTCCATTTTACCTTTCTTATGAACCTCCACCAAAGTTTTTACGCTGTTATATAAGGGGTCATTCCCTGCGTTCCAGAAATTGACAGATATATCGTCTTTTCTCTCTCTAACATCGACATACACAAACGTAGCATGGCAGCCGATACTCAGAGTCATCTGCTTCAGCGTGAGTGCCGGAACACATCTCTTGATCAGCAAAAAGGCAATAGTTGCAAGGTCATGGTCAGTCTTGTCACCGATCTTATTCCCCGATATCTGTACAGCTTGACCTCGAGTGTGAAATATTTTCTCCTCATCATGCTTTTCCTCGATGTTTTCATCGTTCATTGAACGAGTTTTGTAGCCCGCTAAAACACGCAGTCTACTGCCGATATCACTAGTGACCTCTTCCAGACATTCCAATAGTCGCACGTCCAATCGGAAGTAACGTTTATCAAATGGCTTGAAATCGAAAATCATGTAACTGTCAGACACGTGTAACTTGTCATTGATACCATCAACTATACCAGGGATAGTTTCGGCAGATTCTGCTTTCACGTAGATTGGTTTATAATCCTGGACCTCGGATGTAGGTGGATTGACATGTAACATGCTGAGCCGGGAGTAAACCTCGAGGGTGGCCAGGTACCCCGTTTGTTCCCGTACAAACACATCTACGGTTGATGTCCCGGAAAGGCAGATATAGTCAAATCCCGCAGAGATCGCTAGGTTGGCAAGATCTTGCAGCGCGAGGGCGGATGTTGCAGTCTCTAGTCGCAACGCCCTGTGAATAGCAAATATGATTTTAAAATTTAAGGAAGTCAGTCAGAACTTTTAATGCTAAACGTAATCTAGCAAATCACAAATTCAGATCAATCAATCTGAAATCAAATTAAGGATTTTCTCCAATAAAAGATTAAGAAACAAACAAGAACACTTTGTTTCTATGATAAAGGACTTTCTAATTTAGAGGATTAATCTTCATTATGGTAATTTAAATGTCATCCTCATGACCTAGCTTATCCAAATTAGAAATCGCTGTAACTGACAGGACCATACACATGTACACGTGTCACTGATTGGTTGTGATCGCTTCCATGAAGAATAAGAGGCAATGTGTTTGTCTCCGTTTTACCTTACTTTATATTTGTTGTGTTTGGTGGTGGTTTAACACATGTATGGATGGGTGACAGGCGACTGATGGGGGTCACGACACTTAATCCTTCGTATTCTGAAGTATAAACACTGTTTTTGTCTGCAGTTCACTTTGTTTTGTTAAATTTCAATAAATAAAAAATATTACGTTTGTTTTCTAAAATATCATTAAATAAAAATTCTAACCTGCCGACATTCCCATATTTCACGACGTCGGCATCGCCTTGTTCCTGTGGAACAATCACGGCCACTGACAAAATATTAATCGAAATAATTTGAAGTTATTAATTACAAACGTATAACTTGGCTTGGTAAAATGTAGTACAAATATATCTGAATGTTTTAAAAACACTTACATCTTCAGAAACTTATGCAATAGTACGTTTCGGAGAATTAATTTGCCGATATGTATAAGAGACATCTAGCGATAACATTTATATATGTACAAAACGGATGTAATAAGATAAGACAACACAGACAAAGACAGAAAAATAATACTATAAATGTTGTTTTTTTCTATTTGATATGTATATGACAAGTGTTGGAAATGATTCAATAACACTGATGATACGTATGTTTTCTTTGGTTTAAGGTAAAGCTTGTAGCCTAGAACGTATAACTCACATTGATCTTTACTGAGAATAGAAAGCCTCCGAAGTCTTAGAGCCATCCTTGGGGTCATGGTCCGGGTCAGGCACCAGTCCCAGGGGTCATCGCTTTCATCGTACGTCTTGCAGTCCTTGCATCGTCTAGTGGCCGTACCACAGACTTCGTCAACTGGCCCTTCAGGGGGAAAACTCACGTCAGCCAGAGGATACTGCATCATCCTAAATTATTTACAAAAAAAATGAAATTCCGGTGAACACGTCGCCACATACACAGTTTTGTATGTTTAAAAATTCTTATCATGATACTAATATCAAATACTGATCAAAACGATCTTCATGACAAGTATGTAGAAATGTGCGCAGACAAAACATTTAATAACTAAAAAAAAAAGTAAACACTGTTGCAATACTTTTTTGCAGAAAGAACTAGGCTTGTTAAAAGAAAATCTTCCTACCTATATACAATTTCTTTTTTTTTCGAATGAAGACATATAAGTTAATCACGCTTCAAAAGAATCCTTATCGAAAACGTTTTCTAGCTGGCTCTGCTAATTGCTCACGACACTTAAATATTCAAGCTTCTTACTATCATTCTAAGTAACATTAAACCAAGGCTACAGTCGTAAGGTGAACTCTACACTCCAATCCAGACAAGGAATTAATGGAATGTGGATTTGGAAGAATTTTATGGACAAATTTACGGTTGCCATAATGATCTTATAGTAAATTTGCTATTTCTCTGTGTGATATGAAGGTCGACTTTTATGCTCTGTGTGTCTTGCTGTTTCGCTGTCACTAATACGGTTCTCGCTACGCGGATGTGAAATATTGATTTCGATTTACATGGCGGGTGTGTTCGAGGCGAAAAAAAACCGATAACCATTCCGGAACACATGATCTCGCCTTTCTTGTACTTTTTCAATGGCTTCCGTGTAAACCTTTCTTTGTTTACAATTTTTCTTAGTGTTTTCGATTTTGAGTACATATTACAGTTCTGTTGATACCTTGATATTTTTTTCTTGACGTTATTTGTACGTGCTAACAAATTCTTCCGATTTCATTTAGATTTTATTAATACTAATTTGGATTGCTTTATACTTTGTGTTACCTTTTCATCTGTACGTTGTTATCCACGGAGAAGTACTCATCAACAGGACCGAGTATATCGACAACAGATGTATCCTTCGGATACGTGGTAGAGGTATTGAAGTGAGAGGAGGGTGTGTGCGCCGATTTCAAAACTACAATACAAGGGTAAATATGTACTCACCCGAATACAAATATTTGTGTAACCCTGGTAAATACTAGCCGCAATGTATCGCTCGGCTGATCGGTTGAGCGTAGGACTAGTAAGCCAGAGGTCACGGGTTCGATCCCTAGCGGAGCCAGTGATTTATATTTAATTAATCATTTTGTTGAGTATTAACTGAATTTCAATACATGCATGAATGACCAATGTTAAGTTATAATTGTTGTTACACAAAAGAAAAACAACTTTTACAAACAAAGATATGCATTTAAAGCATTTATTTCATTTATTACCCTTATCTTGCGTGCAATAAAACCTATCGTACCTACCTAAATTGCCCAATTTGTCCAGGAACAGTTGCTTTTCGGCATCTTCCAATTCCTCTCTAGATGCCTCTCTCCTTTTCCTTCTTTTGCGTGCCTCAGGTTTCTTCAAGCACGTAACAATGGTGTTTTTATCATTTGTTGATGCTATCTTGTAGAATGTGAACCCGGCACATGAAGATAGTTCCAGCAGGCGGTAAACGATTTCCGGTTGATCATCGAGTGAGTTACTGCCAGTAGATGAAGTTGTTGGTACACTCACTCCTACTTTTGCAGCACGACCTTCGTAATACAACGAGCTATTACCATATTTACCGCTCGGATATTGAGACGTAGGTTCACTCCAGCCTTCTAGTAGCACTAGGTTGCCTAGAATAGTGATGCAATGGACTTTGTTTACGTCAACATAGTAACAGATTTATTAACTTAGAAACAGAGAATCGTTTTGCTTGTTGAAACACTACATAATACCTATGTTAAGAATAAATCAAATGCATTTATTTAATTACATTGTTTCCTAAACTGTATGATATAATCGCAACCCAAAATCTGATTGGACAATAAACTCACGATCGGGCCATTCCGACCTGACAAACTTAGCCAATCGAGTGACTGGTGCTGCCATTTGTGCCGTTAGAAGCCGGTTTGCGCATGTCGAGCCCTCTTCATCATCACAACGTGTACATGAATCTCCAGGCTGACCACACCATTCTGAGTCAGAGTCCTTGTCCAGGAAATTGATCAGATTTCCAAAAAGTTCTTTTAGCCTGCGATAAAACAGAAACATGTGCGACAACATCAACAAAACACAACAGTCAATAGCTAGTTTATGGTGACCTCATCGGGATACTGGTCATCACATATAAACCCGGTAACAAGCCCAACAACTTAAACACCCCCATAAGATCAAATACTAATCACCTTTTTTTTATTTATTTTTTTATTTTTTTTTTATTTTTTTTTAAATCAGACATACACCAGAGAATTAAGGGTAAATATCTGCATACACCATAGGGACCCCTCGGATAATCTCAAACTCCGGCCAAGTCTGACAAGGAAACAAAGTACTGTACCTAACGGAAGCAGAGACGTTTCCCTACTGTCGGGCTCAACCGGCAGTAAGAGACCCGAGGTACATAACAAATATAATATATATACCTCCCTATAAGAACAGGAATATATGCAATAAATACACTTTAAAAATAGACAAATATTTTTCTTTTTTAAGTACATATATACATTAATATAAGCCACATTGGCCAATTTCGAGTCCCCTCAACGACACAAATACATTAGTAAGGATCAACAATCACAGATACAACATCCAGCAAGACACACCATTTCGGACCAAGGAGTCGTCTCCAAATTACACCACAAGATAAGGATAGGATAGAATAGACGACTCCAAACCACCCCCCGAGGGAAGGCAACTTCCCTCACGCCGACTGAACACTGACTTCCGTCAGTGAGATGAAACCCGTAAGGGCGGATTCATGTAGGCGCGAAACCCGTCATCCATCCATCCATACGGTCTTCCTAAAGGATGACTATTAATCAAAATCAACAAATCAGCCCTTTGCATTTTTCAAAACTCTCGAGCTTAAAGAAACATAACTAATTGGGCCGCAGTTTCTCGTACATTCCTTAACTTAACTTTTTTTCATGAAAAATCAAAGGGGAAATGTTGAAAGGTTTTCTTTGACTCCAACGATGCTTTTTAATTGAAAAACTGAAATTTCAGCTGTAAAACAAAGTTCATGAACCTTTAACTTGGATTTTAATGATGAAAGCAAGGCATCACAGGATGAGCAGAATACATTATCCTAATCACATTAGGTAAAATTTACATATTTATCTGTTGCTTCACCTGCCAAAGTCACTGCTGCGCCTGGTTATCGGTGTCCCCGGGTCACCACATACACTCTCCACAGCCGATCCATTGTGATTGCCAATAGTAGGATCTGCACAGTTTGCTTTACATTTTCTTGCTATCTCTTCCTTACATAATGGCGTATTAACTATCTGGACGTTTTCCAATAGGACATCCCTTCAAGCAAAAACAAAATTTAAAAAAATATGAAATTGAAAACAGAAAGACACGTTAATGTCAAAATCCAACCGGCATATACCAGAGTATTCTTTAAGCATATTCCACTAAACAATGTATACAAGTTGATGGTTTCTATACAAATCCGTCCAAAGGAACACACAATTTTACAAGAAAGTATATTCAATTAATGATTTTGTTCTCATTTATAAGCGTGAATGTGTTCAATATGACGAGTCTCCTTTAAATTCTTGCTAACTTATAAATTAAAGAGATGTTATGTATTACAATATTCCACGTTGGTAGGTTACAAATGGTACAAAAACAGTACCAAATATGTATGTCGAAGGCGTCCACTTCAAGCCTGTTTGCGGTGTGGGTCCATGAGCCGGTCATCTCAGCCACACTGGTGGTGCAGTACGTCGTATCTGCTACACTTGCGTCAGTCTTTAAGTGTTGATTCAATCTGAAGCAGAATATAGATTATGCTCAAACACGCTTAATGCTACAGAGGCATTATAGTGTTTTGAATATAGCATAGTTAGAATATGTGAAGATCTTGTGATATTAATTTCTAGAAATGCAATTAGGGTAAATTATTTTATCAAATTAATCATTGTTACAATGTCATATGCCAATGACCAACCAAATGGTTAGGCCTTACTGTATTTCATGTGGGGTACCAAAGTCCATGGTAATATCACGAAGAGACCATCCGATAAACGGTTTCAGGTGAATCTGGAAACAAACAGTAAATGCAAGATGTGAAGGAGAAAAAACAGAAGTCCGTGACATTTTAATTTCTAACTATAGAGGATAAGTGATTTAGAGTGGTTCTCAAAAATCGACGTGTAAGTTTCATAATAGATGCAACATAAACGTCGTGAATACACCAATCTAACAATGCAGAGCTGTGCGCACTGTTTGTTAAATCTATTAAAAAACTGGCTATTGGTATATACATTAACATAGGAGACATGTGAAGTAAACAACTGGTTTAGAATAAGTAAATATCACTGATACCGCTTCAGTGAGTGTCCGACAGTACAACTACAATAACACTATATAGTCTTCTTTTTACTTCACTGAAATACTATCATTTAATCTACATTTTTCTCAAATAACCTTACCTTGTGTGTAATTGTCGCGTGAAAGCTAAACATCTCTTTGGTTTCCAATAGTGATGTTGTTCCCATTGTGGTCCAATCCGGAAAGGACATAGTTCCTGTGTATTTGTCATCTTGTTTGATTTCATCCGCTAAATATGTAATAATTACCGTTATTAATTGCTACTCGCATTCTTATCTATACAGAAACATATCATTTTTTGATAGATTGCTAATAAGAAATCTGTACATAATAAAATGACTTACAATTGATAAACGTTCCTTTAGTTGTAATATTATGTTCGATCCGGAACGGTTTTAAAGTCGTTAGGTTCACAGCGAGGAAAGCCCCGGTATGGACCTTAACGATTAGTTCGACATCAGGAAGTCGAGGAAATGTAGCTATGGGGACCTTCATGAAGATGGTAGGTTGTGTCTCCCAGAGTTTATCGTCAAAGCTTAAAGTCATATTGGTTTCACCTGACGCATGCAGGTTGTACTGGCCGCTAAATTCTCCTTCAACCTAACAGTCCATAATGAGAAATGTAAAAATGTATTTAATCAACACGTTAAAAGTGAAAAAATAGGGAATGATAATTTTAAAAGAATAACTCGACATTCATTGTTTATACTGAGGATGCTACTTAAGGTTTCTATGATATTAACTCACCATTCATGGTCTTGTTGAAATTTATATTAAATTTGCTTAAATTGATGAAACAGGACAATAATACAGTTATACACTTATGAGTTACTTACTCAAAATACAATAGTATTTGCATTTGCAATGCCTGGCAAATACCAAGAAGTAAGAAACGTATGGAAAAATATATCCTTTCAATGGGATTTATTTAATTAATAACGCGAATATTACCTCCGTTTTGAACACCTTGATCACTGGTTTGTTATCGACTTTGTCGATTCTGACTCGCCTGTAATGAAGAATGAAGAGTTCAACCCTATTTTAAGTTACATTTATATATATAAAACTAATTCTTTTTAAAATGCATTAAAAGCAAAGCGATATTTTCTTTTAAGATTGTTATTCACCCAAGGTTTATGTTCAACGCTTTTAACAAATTACAAACTTCTTATATCGCCTACATCAATGTATGTTAATCAACATGGACGTATCGTTTCCATGGTAATATATAGAAAATGCATCATGTGTTAAATATAGTTTTTTAACAAGTCAAATTACATAATTGATCATTCTAATACTGAAGCGAGTACGTTTGAATATACAGGAATAGAGAACAACAACATTGTCTTCAAAATGAACATACAATTTATACTTAAGGTTCGTTGTGCCTCCACATTTCACGCATTTGAACATGAAATCACTCGCGTCTGTGTTACTAAGGTCCTCGCTACTATCTCCATATACTTTGAGAATCGGCTGAGAATTATTGGACGACTTGCTAAGATGTATCCTGTGGTTGTGTTTATTGAATGGAATCTCTGTAGTCAGCGTACTGTTCCAGTCAATGTCGCTGAGTACAGTCTTCAAGACGTTTGACATATGTCGCTTTTCACGAGATTTCACAGTGTTTACAGATATCTGTATATCGGCCTCCTCAATCAGCTCAATCGCCCTAAACATATTTTATATCATGTTACCCATAATTTAAGTAGTGGTTATCATTATTCTACAATGTCGTTAATAAATGTCAGTATAATTGTGGTAAAATATTGGGAAAGTAATACTTGATGGCCAGCCCTGTGAACACCTGCCAGTTAGTTCAGAATACCGACACTGGCATATAATATAACTTAACATTAATATATAGAGGATCTTACATGAGTGTCCATGTCGTATTGAATTTATTCAACGAGCTATATAATTTCATATGACACAAGCCTTTAGGCGAGTGTCATATACAATTATGGAACGAGTTTAATAAATTCAATATGACATGGACACGAATGTAAGATTCTATTTATCACGTAACATTCATTATTTTGAAAGGTAACTTCAAACACAATTATGTGTTATCAGTTGTCTCTTAAAAGGTAAAAAAACAATACTCCGACCAATGTATTGTCTTTCCGTTCAGTGCAAAGTAGTTCCAGACTATAGTTTTTGATAATGAACAGTTTCAAATGCAATGAAAATAATAATGACAAAATAGACATTTGAAATTCATTTAATAGCAAAATCATTAAACTTTCTCAGAAAAAAATAAGTTAATAAAGTTCAAAAGGTTTTTAGAGGCGAAGGAATATGTTCCAACGGTTTTGACCAATCACAGCAGGTTTTATTTCATGTGTATAATAACATTTTTATGACATGGCCATATGGCTTAGTAAAATGGGTCAGATTTGTGATAAATTCATTTATTTTAACAACATGAACACTCGTTTTAAAGAGTGAAATTATTAAGACTGAGCGGTTTGAAAAATTAACGCCGTTGCTTAATCTTAATGCTATACTAGCAGTTACATAGTGCTGCTGCATTGGCATGTTCCTTTTGTATTAAATATGTAAACTATATAAAGAAAAATCTTGTTTAAAATCTTATGTGACATATACTTATGAATTATGAACATGGTTCAATTTTTAGTTGAACAATACAAACTGTTATCGTACTCGGCTCTCGTAACATGAAGCTGCACGTGTTGTTGGAATCGTTCTATGCTCTCTACTTTAGCGAAGAGGCCAATGACGTCAGAATTTGGAAGGACACTTCCGGGCGTACACGATGGTGTCGAACTTCCTATAACAAGGTCACCAGCCAGCCAGGATACGCTGACATTTTCAGAATCAGCCAAGGCCACCGCAATTCTATGTTTGGAACATTTTACCCTCTTAATGAGAAAAAAAGAATAATGACTTATATCGATATGTAAACTTTACATATGAAATACAAATCAAAGCAGTAGGGAGTGTTTACAAAATCAACCCAGGAACGTTTTTTACGAAGTTGGTCTTTTTAAAAATAGCAGTCTCATAAGGCTAAAGAATATTCGCCGATATATTTAAACCATCAGCCTTAACAAAAAATGAAGGTATTTTGCACGCCAGATATACTATCTATTTTATGCGAACATCTTCTACTTAAATTAAGTTGGTCGATGCAAAAACTGAAATAAGGGTATATTGGTTAATGCACAATATGAATATTCCGTCAATTTTAAAAGTGCTCACAAGTGGTAAAAACGACAAACAAAAAAACAAATAAAAAACAATGTCAAAATTGCTTCGTGAAATTTTAAGGAATACAGAGTACACATGTAATAACTAGAATTCAAAAGAAGAAAATTATTGAATAAAACCTTTGTCGATGCAGAAAGCCTAACAAAGTTAATGAGGAAGCGGCTGATCAGAAGAACTTGTCCTTTTTTCTCAAGTACAGTAGGGTATATACAACCGACATGGTAAGTAAATGTACCTTAAAGTGAAATCAAAGGAATTGGCAAGGTTATTTTTTCCATTTCTGAAAAGCTTTTTAAAAGTTTAAAATCATATGAAATAAATAAAAGACCATGAACGAGAAACAATGTGTGCCCACATTTAGTGTACGAATGCCAAGAGACTGCTGGAACATCTCTATGGCAAAACATTCATTATTTTGAAAGAGGAGCAATGTCGATCCTGTATTTCATCGAATTATATAAGATATCTTATATAGCATATGAGATATCTTATATACTATATAAGATATCTTATATCGTATATAAGATATCTCATATAGTATATGAGATATCTTATAAAGTATATGAGATATCTTATATAATATATAAGATATCTTATATACTATATGAGATATCTTATCTAGAAATTAAATGAGATGCTATATAAGATATCTTATATGATATATAAGATATCTTATATCGTATGAAAGATATCTCATTTAATTTTCTATATAAGATATCTTATATAATATATAAGATATATTATATGATATATAAGATATCTCATATAGCTTTATAAGATATCTTATATAATTAAAGTCTCGTTACTAAATAAGATATCTTATATAGGAACGAGATTTTAACAAAATGTCGAAAATGAAGTCTCCCCGTCCGGAATATCTCGAGGATCTACGTAGGGACAGTAGGCTTGTTGTAACAACACGTGTTCCTGTCGCCGCCATTATGTCTGAGCCCACTTCAAGAGTGCGGGAAATGGCAGCCTCTGCTTTGGCCGCTATAAGAGAGACAAGGCGAGCTAGGC